CTATCACTCATTATCACCACTAGCCACCACATTCGAGCACCAACAACTCCAGTCACCACCTTCCCCTGTTAAAAACCACCTTTGACCCCCTACAATCACCTCCAACCATTGATAATCACTTCCAGTCACTGCCTCATGTTGGAAATTAAATCTGGCCACAACAACCACCTCCAACTACCATCTCCAGCCATCAGCCACTACCTCTTGCCAAGAACCATTGTCAATCACCACTTTTTTTTTTCAAAACAAATCTTTAAAACACAGATACATAACAATTATATTTTTTTGTTTTGATTTACTAAAGATAAACACAAATGTATTTAATCTTATTTGTAAACAAAAATAAATAAATTAAAATTGTTACCAAACAACACCATATTTTTGGGTAATGGATCGATTTTGAAAGGCAGGTTTGTGCCTGATACTCTAGCAAAGATTATTATGTAGTGGAAATAGTTAATGGAGTACACAAAAACTTTGCTTGAAGCTTTGAATTAATCCATCTCAGATTAGGAAGAACCTGCACCTAACTTTTTTCATGGTCGACATCAACCTTTTTAGCTCTTAGATTATATTGGTACCGGGTCTGTTTTTTGGATACCAGGGTTTCTGACATGAGGTTGAAATTTGCACACATTTTTTGATAATTTGGTATCCAGACCAATTAATTTAAAGGGCCAATTTCACATTTCAGTAACAGGGACTCAATTAAAGCTAAGGTAACGTTCCCAAATGTAATACATAGTTTACAAGCTTTTTCTATTTTGAGAAGATAGTTATAATCAGCTTTTTGGTGAAAAATTACTTATAAGCAGCTTTTTTGTGAGAGAGGAAGTGGGTTAAAATCTGGGAAACGGATTATAACCCACTTTCCAAAATAGGGTATTTGAGAATTCAGAAGAGAAAATAAAAGAAATAATTTGGTAAGTTAAGAGAAAAATAAAAAAAAATGAGAAAAAAATTATGGACAGATAACCGGTTATTCATTTTGGAGAGATCCAAAAAGTGGGTTGTAAGAGGAATAAAATTTTCAGATTTTTATTTTTTATTTTTTGTCGTATTGGTTTTTTTGATTGGCAAAAAGAAAATAATTTTATTAATGAAGAACAAGACTGAACTACATCAATAAAAATTATGAGGCGAAAATGCACCATAGCTGGAAAAGAACATCCCAACAAGGTTGGGACCTTCAAAACCAGCCCAATGAGGTTTCCATTTCCTTTTCTTTAGTAATCCAAATAGGCGGATGGAGCCAAGAATTTTTTTTTTCTTTTATTTATAAATCACTCATCCAAACCGGCTGTTATTGTTAAATGATTTTGGATTAGATTTGTGCAAAATTATAGTACCATAACAAAGCTGGTATTGGGTGAAATGGAAAATAAGACTTTATTTATTTATTTATATTTGATGAAAACCCTCTCATAATAAAATTTTAATGCATTAAAAATAAGTAAAAAAAAAATTTCTTGAAAAATGCAGCACATACTACTATTATCAAAATATTCTTAGTGAATAATTTAATATTTTAAATTTTAAAATGATATAGCTTTTGATCTAAATGTCGATTTTTAATAAAATTAATATTTTTAGAATCTTTTCATTAAGATCTATCAAACAAGATGTAGGTTTACAATGAAATTATTTAAAAAATAAAAATATCGTTAAAATTGACATAAATAGTAAATTTTTACTCTATTTTAAAGTAAAATGTTACTCTGTTTTATAGTAAAATTTTACTTTGATTTATAACAAAATTTTACTATCATTACCAGAATAACTTTAAAATACACTACCAGAGTAAAACTTTATTGTTATTCTTAAATAGAACATTAGCAACCCAAAAAAAAAATTACAAATTGAAAGACATGACGGTGGATATATAAATTGAAGCAATACATAGACATTATCATGTTAATCCCCTCTTTCTCTCTCCACCAGCCATCAAGAACAATGGACTGTTCTATCTCATCAATATAAGTGTTTTTGTTCTTGATGATGGCCTCAAAAACTACTCGATCGAAAACCTTCTCCTGAATTGCAACTGAAAGCTTTTAGTGCTAATCATACAGTGGAGCCAAATCGTCGCAAGCCTTTGCCTTTAGTGGTTCAAAAAAGTGATACCAAGGATATCAAATATAATGCCAAGCCAAACATAAGTTTCCAACCCATAAGTTGCAGTCGGGGTTCAGTATTGTAAGAAGAATAAAGCTACAAACAAATCTTGCTTGTCTAATGCTAAATACACCATTGAACTAACATGTACACTACAAATGCTACACACATTATACCCAGGACAAAGAAAAGCATAGTGATGATGGTGGATTGGGAGTGCAGTCTGAGAAGAACCAAAGCAAAGGATGACCCATTGGATAAGAGACGGCACGCTGACAAATAAGAAGAAGATGGCTTTTTCTTCGTCAGAGAGATGATTAACGAAAATCAGAATATATTACGCTGAAAAACGCAAATCGTTCTCTACACTACAAATTCGTCAATTTTGATTAATGAATTACGAAAAAATCAAATGTAGTGACCATGTTTAGATAGGTCCTTGAACACAGAAGTCATTGGAGAGAGCGAGCGAGCGTTGTATTCAAGGGCAAAAATGGTCTATGAAAAAACAATCCCGCTGCATACCCCCAGTGGGGGTCGCGCCCCCAGTGACGTGGCGTGCCCCCACTGGCTGAAAACTCAAAAAAAAAAAAAATACAGTTTTTTTTTTTGGGCCAATCCCGGAGTGACACCTCACTGGGGGTCGACCCCCAGTGGGGGTAGGAAGCATTTTTGATGAAAAAATAGGCTTCCTTTTAGTTGGTTTTTTGTCTATTTAACTTTATGGTTATTTTTGTCTAGGATTAAAAAATCTCATTTTAGAGAAATTTTTTGGACTCTTTTTATTTTTGGAAAAAAAAAATGATTATAATTTGAAAGTAACATTTTTTAATTTAGAATTAAAAAATCTATTTTATTTTCTTATGACTATTTTAGTCCCAATCCATCCCAACCCTATATGCCAAACCAGTGCATAGAAACAAATCTTTTTGTCCTTCCTCACATATGAGTGTGTGCTTTAGAAGGTTTAGCAATTAAATAAATTAAGAGCATCATTTTCACCAAAAATCGACCCAATGGGGGAGTTTTAGCCAAATTTTCCTAGAAACATCCATTATTGTCCTTTTCTTTAGGAAATTTTATAAATACTAAGGCTGCATTCGGATTAACGGATTTTAAATGAAGAGATATAGTAAATCCTAAGGGGATTGGCCTAGTGGGCACAGCTTGGTGCCTGAGGATGTACTCTCTTCAGGTCTCAAATTTAAATTTTACTAGATGTTATTAATTTGTTAGGGTCACGTCCACGGATTTTACTCGAGATTTGTGCAATTCACGTGAGAAGGGCACTTTGCGTGGATCTTAAGATTAGTCGAGGTGTAGGTAAGCTGGTCTAAACACCCGATCATAAAAAATTAAAAAAAACAAAAGGAGAGAAGAGATATAGGATCAAATTTAGTTTCTGCTTGCATTTATGAAGGATTTCGAGGGAGGCTTTTAGTTAATGTTTGGATTGCTTTTAAAAAAGAGAAAATAATGCATGGAGGGATTATAAGGGGTGGAGCACAAACATTTTGGATACTTTTCTTCCTTTCAAAATTGAGAGGAAATGGATAGGAAGATAATCTAAACATTACATTTTCTTTTTTGAGCAGCAAGCCTAAACATTACATATTCAACTTAATCAGTCATTGAAAAGTTATCAATGTATCTTATTTATAAAATATTGAAAAAAATACTATTAAAACTAATTCTTGTTCTAGTGCTGCCTTACTTTATCATTTCCCTCAAATCTCTCAATTCAATTTAAATACTCCATTCTATTTCACTCCCTTTGAATTGAGGAGAGGAAGACGGAAGAGAAGAGTTAGTTGTGAGGGGAAAAAAAAAGGGAAAAGAAAGGAAAGATGGAGAAGGAAAGGGATAGGAGGTATTATCCTTCTTATTTGGTTAGATAATCTTTAATTAAGGGAAAAGAAGCATTGTATTTGGTTAGACAATAAAATATTATAAATAAATGAATTTCTTATCTAAATTTTTTATTTCTAGATACAGAAGCATAAATCTAACATATATTTATTAATCTGAATTCCATTACTTTATGTCTAGTGATAACAAAATTTGATGAAGTATAAATTACTTATATATATATACAACTTATTGCATGCTTAACCCTCTTTAGTCCTCAATTTTCCATTTTTATTGTCTAAGCATATCACAAAGATGAACTTAAATTGAGAATCTCAAGAGGATTTGTCATTTGATAAAGGCCCAAAAAAGTGGAAAAGCAAAACCATTTCTATTAGTATTCAACACCATGACATGCAAACACAGTGAAGGAGCAAGGAATGGTCTCATCTTCACCATCCTTTGCTGGTTGTTGCCTTGCGTTATTCCTTCTGTCTTTCTCTTTTCTTCTTTCTCTTAGACAAAGAAACATTGCATGCTTTGTTCACATTGCATTTTCTCTTGTTTCTTTAACTCATTCTATTTCACTCCCTTTGAATTGAGGAGAGGAAGACGGAAGAGAAGAGTTAGCTGTGAGGGGAAAAAAAAAGGGAAAAGAAAGGAAAGATGGAGAAGGAAAGGGATAGGAGGTATTATCCTTCTTATTTGGTTAGATAATATTTAATTAAGGGAAAAGAAGCATTATATTTGGTTAGACAATAAAATATTATAAATAAATGAATTTCTTATCTAAATTTTTTATTACTAGATACAGAAGCATAAGTCTAACATATATTTATTAATCTGAATTCCATTACTTTATGTCTAGTGATAACAAAATTTGATGAAGTATAAATTACTTATATATATATACAACTTATTGCATGCTTAACCCTCTTTAGTCCTCAATTTTCCATTTTTATTGTCTAAGCATATCACAAAGATGAACTTAAATTGAGAATCTCAAGAGGATTTGTCATTTGATAAAGGCCCAAAAAAGTGGAAAAGCAAAACCATTTCTATTAGTATTCAACACCATGACATGCAAACACAGTGAAGGAGCAAGGAATGGTCTCATCTTCACCATCCTTTGCTGGTTGTTGCCTTGCGTTATTCCTTCTGTCTTTCTCTTTTCTTCTTTCTCTTAGACAAAGAAACATTGCATGCTTTGTTCACATTGCATTTTCTCTTGTTTCTTTAACTCGCCAATCAAAGTATAAGGATAAGAACAAGTAAATCACCAAAAAAAGAAAACGAATAAAACAAATTTGTCCGTGCCGGGTTGATCATTAACATATCATAAAGATGAAGGATAAGAAGATAGCATAGTTCCCATGTTTGATGAACTTGGTGCAATTTCCTCTTCCCCACGAAGTGGTCCTTGATCAGGATGGTCCCAAAATAGAAAACTTGGGCAGTGTTGGGAATCAACCCATTCATTCAATTCTTGTCTCTGTAAGCAATCCAGTGCCATGTCTCTTTCTTCATTGATACTGTTAGGCTGCTGAACTTCCATGGACACCATGTTCTCAATGTTCTCTATTAATGGCGGCAAGTAATTATTCAAGTCCATGCTAGTCGTAAAAGACAATACCGGAGGAGGGAGAGATGGAACTTCTTGTTGGTTCATATGCCAAGTACTAATTTCAGAATTCAACCCCAATTGTTCGTGGAAAAACTCTGATCTTTCATTACCATCCGCGCTAATCCCCTCGAGCGTTGAACCGGACGTGTCGAACATGAACAAAGGGCTTGGAGAAGAGAATAGGGTATCTTGAATAGGTGGCTTTGTTACCAAATCTTGGTTCAAGAAATCTACGTGGTTGGTGGTGGCATAATTAAATTGGGAATGTTGATCAGCGCTAGGTTTGTTAGTTGCCGGTGGATGTGATGTCGCAGGTTTTCGAATCTTCTTTTTGATCCATGAATTCCAGTAATTCTTGATTTCATTGTCGGTTCTTCCAGGCAAATGACTCGCTATGTGAGCCCATCTACAAGTCCCTCATGCATGTTAAGAGTTAGAAGATTGAAAGAATATATAAGACAATTGAGCTAGCTATATATAAATCTATCTAGTCGAGTAAGTTAAATTGAACTGTCTTCAATGGCCTAAGATATAAAAAAATGGAAATGTCAAGGTGTGACATTAATTCTGCATAGACCTGTCAACTGAAAACTTCTATATCAACTTCTTTCATCTGCTAAAGTGTCCTTTGACATATGATTTACAAACTACTTTGATAGTGAAATTGTTTCCCTCTACTAACAAAAACATAAAAAAAATAATTCAGAAACAGAATTTTCATACATAAAATCGTACTACACGTAAAAATAAACCAATGTATCATCTAGAAGCATGTATTATAACTTCATTCAAAGTAATTTTTTTGGGGGGAACATTTTAATAGTAGAAGTCAATGGTACTTCAAGTTGCTTGCAAAAGCACCCTCAACCATGAGGATCAAACACATACCAATTCAAACTTGATCCTTGGTTTTAGAATACTATCTAAGAATTTCAGCAACAAGCTCAATAGAAAAAGATTCTCATTATTGCAAGCGACTTTGAGCTATGCAAGTTCCTCGTGAGGTTCTAAGCGCCATATTGTGCAGTATCACGAATCAATGAGAAAATTCAGATTATGATAGTGGAGATTTTATAATTAAATTATTAGTGGTACACAAAATGTGTCCATCCCATTTTATTTAAGAGTTTTTTATTATTTGGGCTGGGTCTAAAAAAAGGGAAAAATGAAAGAGGGAAAATAGAGTTTAATTTAAAACCTGTTGCCAACAGCACCATGAAGACTGATAATCAACTTCTCTTCCTCTGGAGTAAACCTCCCTCTTCTTATATCAGGTCTCAAGTAGTTGATCCATCTCAACCGACAACTCTTACCGCATCTTTGTAACCCTAATTAACACATCCAAAATAATAAAAAAATATATAAAAAAAAAAAAAACGCTTTTTAAACTTTCATACATAGATATAAACATACTTAGGATTAGGGAAATGGATTTTTGGAGACATAAAGAAGTAAGAAAGAGAGGAGAGAGAGACCAGCTTTCTCAGGGACTTCACTCCAACAGCCATAGCCATGAGTAGTGATGTATCTGATGAGCTTTTCATCTTCTTCAGGTGACCAAAGGCCTCTCTTAACCTTCTGTTGATTGCAGCAAGAGTGATGACCCATTATTCTTCTGTTTTGATCTCTTTTGATTCTGTTGTAGAACTAGTTTGTATGGTTGAATGGAATTGTTTGTGAGCCTGTTGAAGGACTAGTCTCTCTCTACCTGACCCTATAAATGCCTAGAAAGTACATGGAGAGAGGGAGAGCCGACATTTACACACCGAATGGGCCATCCCTATGTGGGACCTTTTTATTTATTTATTTATTTATTTTTGTTTTTTTTCATCTAACCCTAAAATGACATCGCATCTGACTTTTTTACATTCAGGTCCCTAATATTTGGCTACGTAGACTTATTGTATTATGTAACCACGTTAACGTACTAGTCTCTCAACCTTGCCGGTTGTTTCCCAGACCCTTCTTCTCTTTCTCTATATCTTACTCAAACACACACATACACACATTGCATATATACAATTGCGTGGTTCTTGATTCTTGATGTGGAAGATTGTGTTTGCCCTTTCCAATTGACGCACTAATGTTTTTAAACTGAAATATGTGAACAATACATAAATTTTTATTTTACACTTTATTTAACTTGTAGAAAATATTTTTTGTATTATTTGGTATAACTGAAAATAAGAGTTAACCAAAAATATTTTTCCTACTCAACATAAAATAAGTATATTTGTTGAAGTTAGCAGTTCAAGTCTCCTCCCTTACTTCTGAGCATGCAATGAGAGAAGAAGGAGACTGGATCTCGGTGTTGAAGCATAGAGGAAAACCAGTAGCAGGGAGGAACATGGTTAGCTCGGAAATCTTTACATTTTTTGTGGATAATCTACCTTACTCATTGGATCCCAAAGGTCTGTTTAATCTTTTCTTAAAGCTTGGAGTTGTAAAAGATTTATTCATACTGCAAAAGAGAAGAAGAATCACCAACACAAGATTTGGCTTTGTAAGATTTAGTTGTGAAGTAGCAGCACATGTGGCAGTGCAAAAAGCTCATGGTCTTTGGGTGAATGATAAAAAGTTGGGAGTGAAATTTGCTGAGTTTGAAAGAAACAGAGAGCACGGGCAGACTCATATTCAACCACCAAAGCAATCAAAATACAGAGTAGAGGTTAGGAGAGGCCCAAATCCTTTTACAAATAAGAAGTCATTTGCGGAAGCAGTAAAATGCACTAAGGAACTGAGCAGTGGCTCTATTTCAATCAAGGCAGAGGTGTTTGGTAATGGGTGGCTCTATGACAGCGTGGTAGTTCGCTTGAAAGCCAGTTATGTTAACATTAGTCTGAAGATTGAGCTTGAAGAAAGAGGAATAGAAGGGTTTTCAGACAGGAAATGTAGAGAAAGAGATGTGTTGTTATCATTTCAGACCAAGGAGGAAAGGGAGATAAAAATGAAAGCCATAAAAAATATTATTCAAGATTGGTGTGAACTCATCATCCAATGACATCCAGACCTTGTTCTCGAACCGGAAAAGCTAGTATGGATTACCTGCTTTGGCGTTCCATTACAATTATGGAACAGGTCCAATTTTATTAAGATTGGAAGATTATGGGGAGAGGTTTTGGAAGGAAAAGAAGGTATTCCTCGGTCTTTCGACTGTGGTAAACTCAAGATCTTAACCAAATGCATGGAGCCTATTAATAAGGTCATCCATTTGGAGACTAATCAGTTTTCTTACCCAGTGCGAGTCTTGAAAGATCAGATAGTTGTGGCAAAAAATTTCAAGCAGTGCTGCAGATGTTCGCCACCTCAAGATATGGAGGAACATCACAGCTCTAATGAGGTTAACAGAGATGCTGAGCTATCTCAGAACCATGTTGATGAGTTAACTCGGCACTTAGGAGGAGAGTCAGCTCTGGGGACTGCTCAAACCAAGATGGAGGCCAGAGGAAAGAAGCCACATGGGGATGTAAGTGTAGCAGAGGCGGACAAAGGGAAACTTTGGAATAGTGATACGGCGGTGGCAGAGACCTGCAGCATGATAGGTAAGGAGCTCGAGGCAAAAGCCTGCAAAGCACTAGTAGCTGTTAGCTCAGCATTTAATGACACAAGAGCTGCTGCTCAGGGTCATGATGGGCAAGTTTACACGCCTGGTTTTATGAGAAGTTTGAGTGGTTCAAGTCTAAAGAAGTCGGGCCTAAGTTTGGAAGTGGTTCTGGGCCATCATAAGTTGAATTATGAATTTGTTGAACCGTATAAAGGGCCCAATGGGCCAGTATTATATGATGCCCATATAAATGACATGGCCATGGATGTTGGGCCTGTTATCAGAGAGTCCAATGTTTCTCAGACTCAGACTCAGGATGCTAATCAAATTTCCAAGTCTGCAGCCTTGAAAAGTAAAGGTAAGGAGCAAGCAAAAGGTAAAAGGAGGACCAGCAACATTCGGCCACAAAAAGGACTCTTAGGTCTATGAAAGAAAGCCGCTTTGAAGGGTGCCTCAACAAGCAAATCAACCCCTAAAAGATCTCTGTTTAGAGCATCTATTGTTGAAGCTTCGCTATTGCCTTTAACTGAGAAAAGAGGAGAAGGGAGTCAGCATCTATTGGATAAGGCACAAGCATGTTTGCAGATGGGAAAGTTGCTAGGTGTGGATATGTTGGGAAAGGAAAAGGACGTTCTCAATAAAATTGTGGAGCTTGAAATTAAAGATATATGCATGATGGATAGAGATAATGGTGCAGTAGACTAACATGTATCCATTGAAGGAGTTTATACGGAGTTTGTTATGTTCTTATGAAGATGCTTTCTTGGAATATCAGAGGAACTGGTAGGCAGGAAAAGAGGGGGAAAATAAGGATTATTCTGAAGGAAAGAAATGTAGATGTACCTTTTTTTCAAGAAACTAAAAAATCTGTAGTAGCTGATAAGGATGTGAGAGCATTGTGGGCTAGAAACAAAATGGAGTACACTACTGTGGACTCTGAAGGCTTAGCTGGGGGACTTCTTTGTATATGGGATCCGGAGGTTTTTCAACTTAAGGACTGCTGTTGCACTAGAAGATTCATCATCCTCTCTGGTACTCTCTTTAATTCTTTTGACTGTGTACTACTTAATATTTATGCTCCTAATGAGGTGGGAAATAGGGCCAAACTGTGGGATTGCTTATTAAAGCTAAAAAGGGAGTTTCCTAATCCATGGTGTTTATGTGAAGATTTCAATGAGATAAAAAGTGTAGGTGAAAGGAAGGGTTTCTTTAGAAAAGATAAAGGCATGAGAGAGTTCAATGAATTTATTGAACAATGTGAAGTTAATGATATACCATTACTTGGCAGAAAATATACCTGGTATAACTCAATAGTGGGGGATAAATGGAGTAGAATTGATAGGGTGTTAGTGGATCCCAAATGGTTGGAGGTGTTTAATTTAAAGCTTTGGGGTCTTCCTAGGCTCATATCTGATCATTGTCCTCTGTTGCTGATGGAGAATGAAAGAGATTGGGGTCCTAAGCCTTTCAGAATCATTAATGCTTGGAGTTTACACCCATGCTTTCCAGCCTTTGTGAAAAAGACCTGAAAAGAGGCAGAAGTTGAAGGTTGGGCTAGTTTTGTCCTCCTGAAAAAACTTAAAATTCTGAAGTTAGAGTTAAAGGCATGGCATAAAGAGGTTTTTGGTAGTGTGGTTGTGAAGTTGAAGGAAACTGAAGAGGAACTGCACTTTCTGGACTTAGCTGCTGAATCCAGAGATTTGGATGAGGCAGAAAAAGCAAGAAGTAGAATAGTCAGAGATCAGGTGTGGAGGCTTAGCAAAATGGTTGAATGGTTGTGGTTGCAAAAATCGAGACTCAATTGGAACTTGAAAAGAGATAGAAATACTAGATTTTTCATGTAATTGCCAAGGGTAAGCAAAGTAGAAATGCGATCTCTTCCATTTCTGTCGAGGCTTCTGTGTTGGAAGATCTTACTCAGATTAGGAAAGAAGTCTTTGACCACTTTAGCAAGCAGTACACAGAGGATTGGAGAGTTAGACCTAAGCTAGGTGGCCAATTTAAATCAGTCCAAGATTGTCCTGGTTTTGATAGGTTGGAAGCAGATTTTTCAGAGGAAGAAATTAGGGCTGTTGTGAAGGATTGTGATGGTAACAAGGCCCCTGGACCAGATGGCTTTAACTTGGCTTATTTTCAAAAAATTTGGCTGTTGATGAAAGCTGATTTACTGAAGTTTTTTAAGGAATTTCATAGGCATGAAAGGTTAGTGTTGGGTCTTAATAGCTCATTTATTTCACTAATCCCTAAGGTTGAAAATCCAGTGGGGCTTGGAGACTATAGACCTATCAGCCTAGTGGGTTCAATATACAAAGTCCTTGCAAAAGTTTTTTCTAGTAGGCTAAAAAGAGTGCTTCCTCATATCATCAGCGATTCTCAATCAGCCTTCATGGGTGGAAGAAACATTCTGAATGGTGTGCTAATTGCAAATGAGGTGGTTGATGGCTGGAGAAAGACCAAAAAGAGAGGTCTGATTATCAAGCTTGATTTTGAAAAGGCTTTTGATTCTGTTAATTGGTGTTTCTTATCATCCATGCTCCTCAATTTTAGGTTTGGTGCAAAATGGATTAGATGGTTAAAAGAATCTGTCAGTACAGCAAAACTCTCTGTGTTGGTAAATGGTTCTCCAACTGAGGAATTTTTCCCTCAGAAGGGCCTAAGGCAAGGTGACCCCCTGTCTCCTTTTCTGTTTAATGTAGCAGCTGAGGGTCTTAATATTCTTTTGTCAAGAGCACAGCAGTTGGACTTGATTAAAGGAGTGACGATTGGTTCGAATGGGGTGCTGTTATCACATTTACAATTTGCAGATGATTCCATATTATTCTGTGAAGCTAAGGAGATGGAGGTGAGTAATATTAAGAGAGTCTTAAGGTGCTTTGAACTGATTTCAAGGCTGAAAATAAATTATCATAAAATTCAGGTGTGCGGTATTAATGTTCCTGAAGAATCCTTATCTAGTTTTGCCTCAAAGCTGCATTGTAAATCTAAGGCACTTCCTCTTAAGTATTTGGGTTTGCCTTTGGGGGCCAATCCAAATAAGATGGCAACTTGGAAACCAGTTCTTGATAAAATCAAAATTCGACAAGCATGTTGGAAAAGAAAACTGCTATCATTTTCAGGTAGGCTCACTCTAATTAAGGCTGTAACCTTTGCCTTGCCTATGTATTATCTATCTCTTTTTAAAATGCTAGTGAGAGTTGCAAGAGAATGTGAGAAGCTACAAGCTGCTTTTCTCTGGGGTGGGTGGGGGTCTAGAAAACCAATCTACCTGGTTAAATGGAATGATGTAGCAAAGAGTGTGAATCAAGGGGGCTTGGGCATAAGAAGAATAAGGCTGGTTAATGATTGCTTGTTATTAAAATGGTGGTGGAGATTTGCCAAAGAGAAAGATGCTTTGTGGAGACAGATCATTTGCAGCAAATATAAACTGGATGTTAAAAGCTGGTGTCCCTCTTCTATTTCTAACAACAGTTATTCTGGTGTGTGGAAAGGTATCATCTCCATAGCGGAGAGGAGTGGTAATCTGATGTTGCTCTATCACAACAATTTTCTTGTTCAGGTAGGAGATGGGAAAAGAATTATCTTCTGGAAGGATAGATGGTGCTCCAATAGTTGCTTGAAAGATGAATTCCCTACTCTCTACAGATTAGTGATGGAGAATGAGGTAACTTTGCGTGTAATGCATGATAGGAGGGTTGCAACAGGGGATTGGAGCCTTCTTTTTAGAAGAAGGCAGTATGACTGGGAAGAGACGGAAGTCAGTAGTCTCAAGGTGCTTTTGATGTCTGGCTCAAATTGTTGTGATAATCTGGAGGACAAACCAGTCTGGTTGGCTGAAGGCTCTGGTATGTTTTCCATCTCATCTGCCTTTAGGAGTGAAGTTGTCTCCCTTGGCCCCTCTCTTATTACTAGCAAGTTAGTTTGGAACAATCTCACACCCCCAAAGGTCCATTTTTTTTGCTGGTTAGCATGGAAAAACATTGTAAAGTCAGCAGACTTTCTTCAGAAAATTGGAGTCCTTCAAACTTCTTCACCAGTTCTTTGTGCTTTCTGCAAAACTGTGGCTGAGTCTAACTGCCATGTGCTGTTGCACTGCCAATTTTCCTGGAGGGTTTGGTCTGCAATGTTGAATTGGTGGGACGTGCTAGGAGCCCTACCCGGATCTGTGGAAGATGTTCTTCACTGGTGGGAAGGTGTGAAGCTGAGCAAGAAAGAAAAATTGCTTTGGAAAGTCATTCCCTCAACGGTCTTTTGGTCTCTGTGGAAGCTGCGAAATGAGTGTATTTTTCAGGCTGCTAAACCTCACTTGAAGGACCTGTGTGAGTTAATTAAAATCAGAGTGGCATTGTGGTTGAACCAGAGATTCAAGGGCTTTAACTTCACTGTCCAGGACTTCTTGACCAATTTAAGACAAATCAGGTACTGTTTGGGGAGTAAGTTTGTCCGGTGTGGCTAATTTGGATCTCAGTGTTCTGGTTTTTCTTGGAGTACTTCTGTTGGTGTCTTTGTCCTGGTGGAGTTCATCTTCTGGTTCAGTTCTATGGCTTCTGCTGTTCTGGGTTAAGTTCTGTTCTGATATATCATTAGTGGCCCAAAAAATTATTTTATATTAATAAACTTTTTATATCATTGGAATATTATTATTATGATGATGAACACCTATTAAAAATTATTTATTATTTTTTATTTTGTTATTGCATTACTAATGTTTATGAGTAATATGACAATTTGTATTTATTAAACGAATATAATAGTAATAGATGAGATGATAAATATTTTTTGATACACAAATATAATCATCATTATATTAATGTTGAAATTTATATCGTCAATGGATAATATACCACCAACTGACGCACATTCTAGTGTTGGTAACATATATAAGAATGGATAATATACCACCAACTGACGCACATTCTAGTGTTGGTAACATATATAAGATAATACCAATATTTGGAATTGAAATCATCTTCACTATTTTGGTTACAATAGAATATCTCCATTATATCATGGTCGTGAAAAATCCACGTCAGTGGTTGTAATACTTTTTTTTTTAAAAAAAAAAAATTGAAATATTTCACATAATTATTTTATGATTAACGTGATGAAAATTCTCTATTGCTACTATGTATGGAGAGAATTTCCAATACATACAGCTATTGTATAAGTTTCTATACCAAGATCAATATGGTTCTTTTTAAAATTATTTAGTTACGTACAATGCGACAAATGTAGTATTACAATTCTCCTTTTTTTTTTTTAGATATTTCGGAAATGCAAACAGAAAGAGTTCAAAAACAAACAGAAAGCAAAAAGAGGGTTAGGCCCTCTCATACACAGTGCCGACCATATTAGCCACAAGCATAGGTCTAAGAGATTGGGGAGGATCATCAAACACTTCTAGGTCTACGGCTTGCGCAGCTCCTAATCGGGCAAGTTCATCTGCACATTTGTTCCTTTCACGATAGATATGAGTAATGGCACATTCAGTGCGTTGGAGAAGGGCCTTGATGTCAAAAAGAAGAGCTCTAAAAGGGTAGTTCTGGAGTTGTTCATCTTGGGTGGTAATCTGGTGCACAGCCACTTTACAGTCAGTCTCAACTTGGATTTCTCTCCAACCTTTCTCTAAAATAATGGTGAGTCCTCGGTAAATTTCTCTTTTATGTATGAATTTAATGATATTTTATAATTTTTGTACGATGCCTATGCTATGCATGAAATAATTAAAATTTTGTCGTCATTTTTAATACATATAGTTTGGCCCCTACCAATAGTAATTTCTGCATCCGCCACTAACCACCACACCATCATAGCTGTCGCCGTCTCCACCACCATCACCATTAATACAACCATTAGTTTTAAGACTGTAAATAAATATATAAAACAAACTCCAAAAAATATTTTGAAAACAAATACCATAGAAAATATTTACCAGAGCATAAATATTGGTTGATATACCTATTGTCTGATATATGACTATCAGTGGCGACTCATAAATTTTTATAGATAAGATCATCTTATAAGTTTAAATTCTACAAATCCTAAAAAAACAAAAACTAAACAACATTACTCTCTTTTATTTTGAATTTTTAAAAATGGTTTTTGAGTTTTTCTATTTTTTGTGTTTTCAGTCTTTAGTGAATTTTTTTTAGATGTGCTTAAAAAGTAAAATATTTGTAAAAAAATTAATTTTTTTTTTAAATAAAAATTTCACAAAAGTGTATCTAGATTAAGTAAAACTAAAATTAAAAAAAAAAATTCATCAAAGACAAAAGAAACACATAAAATAAAAAAAATCAAAAATTATTTTTAAAAACTGTTGACCAAATAAAATGATTTAAACGTCTCAAATAGTAAATCTCTAATGGGTGTACCTTACTATGTGCCTGTTTGGTGTAGCTTAAAAGTTGCTTATTTCAGCTTTCAGCTTAATTTAAGCTATTTTGATGTGTTTGGTTTAGATTAACAATGTAGCTTATAGCTTTTTATAAGTCATAAATCAGCTTATTCTTTGAGTGAGGTAGGAGATGCTTAATTTATAAGTTAGAAATCAATTTATGTTCATAGTTATAAGTTATAAGCTGTTAAGGTATAAGGTATAAAGATTTTTTCACAGCTCTACCAAACATGACCTATGTAATGGGGACTTTTAATTTTTTACAGAATCAAACCGTATTAAATAAAATATTACTAAAATAAATAATTTTTTTTTTTTAGAGTTTTTGATTGGTTGATGGGGGCATGGGATACCATCACCTATACTGTGTCGTCACCCCTGCTGACTGTCTCACTAATATCGATAGTAGTATATTTATTTTTTGGGTAAATTACATTGACACCTAAGGTTTATATTTATTATAATTTTTTCTTCACCTTTTAAAAATTACATTTTCCTTCTTGAGATTTAAAATTTTATTACAGATTGTTTCGTGAGATTTAAAATTTTATAATAGTTTCCCCCTTACCGTAATGATCATCGTATATAAAATTAAATTAACAAGAGCCTTTTGAAAATTACATCCCTCTCCCTGAGATTTAAAATTTCATTACAGATTGCTTCATGAGATTTAAAGTTTCATAATAGTTTCCTCCTCACCGTAGTGATCATCGTATATAAAATTAAATTAATAAGAGGGGTCAGTGTAATTTTTCAAATGTGAAAAGAAAAACTGTAATAAACATATATGGACTGCTATTAAGAAATTATTTACATTCAGAAGGTTTTGAACTTGAAACTATAGAAGAAACACACCTCAAACCCCAACCCTTCACCTCCAAGCCAACTTGTTGGAGTTATTAGATGCTGTTATTTATTTAAATTTTTTTATATTAGGGGTGTTTTGAAAAGATAGTAAAAGCTTGACTTTTGACTTTTTATTAAGTTTTTTGATTTTTTAGAAAGTAATTTGAAAAGTTGATAAAAAATTACTTTTAATTTTTTTGATTAATATTTATTGATGATGTCATATTACAATCAAATAATCAAAATATCCCCACTTAATTTAATAAATTTACATTTTTACTTATGTATAATCCTAAACAAAATAAAAGATATAATGATAATTTCACATCTAACTTTTTGCAGGCTTCCTAAATAACTTCTTGTTAAAAAAGCCATTCTAACTTTTTATCACCAACGGCAAGACACAGCTTTTAATCTTGGTTTCCCAATGGGCACTAAATTTGAGATGATACTGTTATTTAAAGTTATAAATCCAGTATATTAAAGTTATAAATCCAGTATATTTGATGTAGGCTGACATGTTAAAATTTTATTGGACTGTTAGAAGAACTTTAGAACATGAACACTTGATGTGGTAGCTTTATTTTTCTTTTGGAAACACACTAAAAAAGTTAATTTTTTAATTTTTAATTTTTAATTTTTGTAGTCAAAAAAATTATTTTTTTACTCAAAATAGTCCAACTTTTTACCCAAAAAGTTATCAAAAAAATAAAAAAATAAAAAAATTAACTTTTTATCAACTCCTTAAAACTCTACTCAGATAATTTTTCGTATGGAAGTGTCATGTTGGGTTGGGTCCAGTACTCTACTGATGAATCATGATCAACTTAATTTCATGACATGTATGAGAGGTTACCTGTAGAAATTGTCACTTAAGCTAAATTTAATGGGTTATACTTATATCTCACCGAGATTAGCTGACGTTCTTGAATAGAGTGAAAAGATTGGGATGTTATGTTTGAAAACTCAATTTTATTAAATCTTTCTATGTAAGTAATGAGTCTAATAATGATCATATTGATTATGATGGAGAGACTCTATTACATCAATTAATTTTAAGTGTACTAATATTTTTTTTAATTAAAAATAATTATAAATTTTTATTTTTATTTTGTAGTTGTTAAGGCCTCGTTTGGAAATATCATTTTTTAGCCTAAAAATTAAAAAGTCATTAAAAAAACTAAAAAGCCAACAACTTATACAAAAAATTCAAAAATTCATTTTTCTCTCTATATTTTATACATCTTTTTGTAAAAAACTAAAAAGTCATCTCAAACATACTACTTTTTTTACATCATATTTTAACCAAAAAATCAAAAAGTTACTAAAAAAAGACTGTTTCCAAACGAGACCTAAATATGTAATGAAAATTTTCTGTTGGCCTTGTTTGGGGAGTTAACTATTTTAGTTTTTGGCTATTTTAATAGGCTAAAAATTTTGTGTTTAAGAAGATAGTTAGATTTTTTTGTAGTTAGATATAATGTTTGTGAGAGAAAAAGTAAAATGATTATGAGTTTGATATGACATTTTATCTTATTGACTATTTTAACCAATTTTCTTTTTTTTGTGTAAATTTTAGCCTAAAAGTCAATTAATAACCTTTCCCAATGTAATAAAGAGAATCAAAGTCTAGATCACAACACATTTAAAAAAAAGATAAATTAATATTATTTGAAGAACAATACACATAGCTACACAATGCAAAAAATTCTCAAGTAGAAGAGGATATCCTAGTTGTATCTTTAATTTGGGAATTGGAGATGTCACTAGACTTTGTTTTTTAACACCACTTACCTCATAGAGAAGTTACGTTTGGTTCACATAAACTAATATTAATCCATGATAAGTTATTTAGAAGAGGATATTTTAGTCATTAATTTTGTGAATAATTTCTTATCTTGGGGTAAAGTGTTACTTTTCTAAATAAAAAAATGCTCAATATAAATTATAATACGTCACAAAATGTAAAGTATTTATCCTTTATACAATTATACAATAGATCTATCTCTCCAATATAAAATATAACGAGTCACAAATTGTAAACTCAATGTCAGAAAATTTATCTTTGTAGTCCTATCTCATCCCTTTTCCACTAATCAGACATTGCCAAAAGAAAATAAAGAGAAGGTAAAAAAATGTTTGCAACCTCATTTCTAGTTTTTGAATTACTATACTGGTACATGTTCAAAAAAATAAAAGAACAAATTTCATTTATGGTTTGGTGTTTTTATTTATTACGAAAAAATATGCAAAAAAATAGAAAGATAATATGATAAAAATAAGTCAATAAATCAATAAGCAACTTCTTTGATTTGTTGCCA